AAATCCAAATAAAACATTTATTTATAAAAAATTAGCAATGGAGATATATGTTTTTATAATTTGCTAACTGCCCTAGGGGAAAATAATATTATTTTTATAATAGCTTAATTATATTATATGGTAATAAAAATGTAGTGAGGCTTATGAAGTACTTTAAAGTGTCATTTATATTAGAAGTAGTATTTGTATTAGACCTGAGGTCTGCTTCTATTGGTTTGTGTATAATATTTGGGCTTAATGGCAGATATTAACACCTAAAATCCTTATTATAGAACCATAACTCTGCTGGAACCAATAGTGTCTTTTGACTTCGTTTTTGTTTGTTTAAATAATAAATGTACATTTTATCAGGGTAAAAAAAAATACACATATCTTACCCAGGTATTGCAATTATGATGTGCACTAAAGAATGCATTCGTAACAGAAAGAGAAAACAAAATCTCCCATACAAATAGGAAATTGATGGTTCAGTATCAATTTTATTTAAGGAAACATGGTGTTTTATGTTGTTGTTATGTAGTCACAGTTGGTGATGGACTTAGAAAATGATCTCGGAATTGCATATAGAACGTTGTCTATTATACAATCTGCCACCAGTTTTGGGTCTTGTTGCTAAAAACAGATAATCCTATAATAACTTTCAAAATAACTTCTTTAGAGAAAGTTCCTTCAAAGAAAAATAGGATCAAAATTTGACCAAAAGTGATCAAAAGCACTGGAATCCCATGTGACAAGTGGTCTATGGCGCTTACCCTTACCAATCACTACCATCTGTCTGGGTTTGAGTCTCAGTCAAATGTGGTGATGTAAGATGGCTTATCAATAGTTTCCCATGGGTCATTGGTTCTTCTTGGGGTTTTACCAGATTCTTCCACTACCATTTACAGTGGTTATTATGTATAGTGTATTATTTGCTGAAAAATGATTTTAATCCCATAAAAACAGCAAGAACTTGAAGGCATTTACCATTTATGCAAATGGTTTCACTCTGCCATGAAATTCAGCCACTATTACCAGTGTAGAAAAACATTTACAAATCTTAGTCTAAAATACCCTTCAGTTTTGATTGATGATGGTGATGTGCCAGCAGAGATGAATGAAACAACAAAATGTTTGTTACTTTGTTTTCATAATATATGCAGTGAACTGCATCAGAGACATCTTCTGTAGAGTACATCCTCCAGCCCCATATTTGTTTGATTAATTCTCATACATTTTGCAATCAGGCACATGTCAGCCAAGTGATTGGTCTCAGACTTAGATTTGTGTGTCATGTTACTTTCAATTTGCTTATCTGTTTTTTGTAGCTATTGTGTAGTCATTTGCACCCCCCCTCCACACTAATATTATTAAAGTCAAACTATTTAAATAAGCATTGGGTTGACAATGAAAGTTAAAAATATTTCATAACTATGTTTTACCCTCTAGATTCAGCTATATTTAGCGTCAGAGGAAATTGTCAAGGAGATATAATATCACCAATGTCTATGCTGCATTATTTTTTTTGAACATGTAAATGAAAAGTAAACTTCAACAGTCTAAATCAGTGGATATATATTGAACATGACTTGACACATAAAATAAAAATCAGTTTGCGTTATTCTTTCTGCAGACTCTTTAACCATCTTTCTTTCATAATAATAACTCTTTCTGCTATTGCCTCATTTTTTTCTGTACTGGGGTCTTTAAGTTGTTCACTTTGAACAAACATATGGAACATGTTGCAATATATATATGATCTTGGGTAGATTTGCATGTGCATGTATTATGTGAAAATGTAACTAAAATTTGTTTCTTCACAAGTATTTCAGTGAAATCTCACAGAATTGGTCAAAATCTGAGTGTTACTTCTAACATTTTAGGTGAGATGTCATGAAAATATCACAAATTTTGGTGAGATTGCACACAATGTTGTGGAAAATTTCGAGCAATATCAGTGAAAGTTTAACCATAACTTTAGTTTGAGTTTTGTTCAGATTTCTCTGAAATTTTTGAAAAATTCACAGAAATTTGGTGAGATCTCACTAAAATTTCTTTGACATTTTGTTGAGATTTCACTGAAATTTTCAACAAACTTTTACTGAAATTTCATTGAATTACCAGTGAAATTGGACTGATAGTGAAATTTCAGAGTTACTACAGACTTTTAAATTGAAATATTTATGTATATTTTATTGATATTTAAACAGATTTCAAATTAAGTAATGGTTACAAATTATACATCACATTATCAATCACAATACTCTTTTAAAAAAATTAAACAAACATATACATCTGTTACAACACAAGGAATGACATTGAAGTGTACGCTGGAGATTTTAATGTATAATCTGTGGAGTTGTTCTGATCACTTGAAGCTGAATGAGCACTTAATTCAAAAACCGTGACAAATGTTTTTTTTTTCTTATGATGTAATTAAACTGATTTTCCTGGGAAATATAACACAGCTAGAATATTTTTCAAATATAAACAGTAATATTTAATACTACTCCTGTCATTGAAGGATGATTCTACTTGTGGGCCATGAAAACAACTCTGCAAAGAATTATGACCATCCTTAATAGACATGGGTATTTAGCAACAATACCACTTTCACACCAGTAATCCATATGTCTCTCCTTAAATTCTGGAAGGGAATCAATTTGAAATCAGCACTAATTCCTTCTATTTAACACAACTGCCAGTACTGTAGAGTTGGCAATAGTTGTTCAAATCTTTATGGCAAAAATCAAACTGCTAGTCCTACATTTGATCTTTTTTATATAAATTTAACAAGTACATTCCAATTGATTGACTTTACATTCAAGCCATTGTCATTTCCACACATTTTTAATACAGTGGAACCTGTCTTTTTAGACCACCCTTTTGCCAAAAAATAATGGTCCGTCATGACAGGTGGTCTCTCATAACAGGTCATAATATTATATAATCAATAAATCTGTACATGAAGAACCTGGTCTCTCAAGACAGAGGTCTCTTATAGCAGTGGTCTCTCAAGACAGGTGTTACTGTTCAAGTCAATGTCCTGCTAGATAATTCAGAACCCAATGCTTTGTATACATGCTCATTCTCATCAGTTTCCATTACACATGGATTCAAATGCAAGTACAAACTTTCGACTAATCTGAAAGGTCTTTACAGCGACCATCAGTTAAGTAATATACAGAATGAATACTATTATAAGAATTGTTGCTGAATTTGACCATGGCCATTATTTGAAAGCCGTGTTGGAGAAGAAAAGAAAAGTCCATATTGAGGCAAATTGGATTCAGATAAGGATAAAAGCAGAAATCTCCTTTAAAATTGTAAATAATCTTCGTATCTGAGAGCAATTAAACCCTTTTTAAGTTATCAGAAAGGAAGCATAAGATACTCAGGTGGGAGAGAGAAACATACCTCCTTAGAGATTTTGCTGCTGCAGACCTTTCTTAGTTCATTAAAGTTTTCTATCACTGGCTTTTTTTAACTTTGTGGTAATATTGGTGAAAGAAATAATTGCAAACATTTGCAATGTTGGTGGCGTCAGATGAACTGAGTCACAGGCCACTTAAGAAGTTTCTTCACTGAGGCTAAGCCTAAACAAGGTATTTTAGAATTAAAAAATGTTAATTCACTGTTAAATGCAAAATTGAAATTTCATTTAAAATTAGGTATTTCAAAATGAACCCATCACTATCAAGTAATTTCACCAGAAAATTTAGGGAAAATCAATGCATATAATAAAAATATTTTACCATGTTTCTCTTAGATTTTGGCTATTGGCTTTGTCACCAAGGGTATAAGATTCACCTTCAACTGACCCCACCATTTTGTAATTTGAATCAGGCATTGAGTATATCACTCCATGCATAACACAGTTAAAGCAAATATCACCATGGTGGTGCTGATGAGAAATGTGAAGAAACACCAGACAAGAAAATGCATGCAACATTCACAAACACATGTCTAGTGTTTTCCTGGAGAAATCTGACAAATAACAAAGATTTTATTTACAGACTGCAGCAAAGAAGCACAAAAAAATCTTCTGACAGAGCTGAATAGTAATACATGTGGAACTGTAAAACTGAGATGGTTCTCATTTGTGCCAGACATTTGCATGAAAACAGGAGTGCAGCACTAAACTAGTCACTCGTTCCATACAATAATTAAAACTAATGAGCAATGATGGATTTGCTACCAGAAATATTTTGTTTATGACACACCATAAATGTGAGGAGTCATACAAAACTTTGAGTTGCAGATGTCATACTGAATAAAAACAACTTCCAAATTTAGATTTTATTGGTCAGGCTCTGTGTCTGTGTCAGCCTCTAACACCAAATAAATCGGGGTTTCACTTCAGATTAAAATATGAATGCTAAATAAAATTTCAAATCCAGTGCTGAAACATTCTAATCACACAGTCCTTCCTGCACTCCAGCACTCAATTCTGTAAGCATACAGCTGTCTTTGCATGCAAATCTACCTTTAAAGAATGGCACATTTCAATTCATATGAGGAAGGTGAATGGCCCTTGGTAAGTGTTAACGCTATTGCACATAATATAAAAATTATTGCTATGTAAATGATTTTCTTTACTGTATTTTTTATTCAGTAAAGGATTGTGTTATCTTGTTCATATTTCCATGTTGTTCATTGATAAAATCCATAGTTAACATTAGCTTTGCTTGTAAAGTTCAGTTGGCACACTCACTATATCAGCTGTCATTATTTGAGATCATGCTCATATGATGTAGAAGAAAGGTCAGCTGACTAAAAATTAACAAGAACATTGTTCTTTTTGTTTTTGTATAAAATGAAATGTGCAGAACCCAAGGGTAGTCAATGCCTAACATGTAAATTATTAAGTTTCTCAATAAATGTAAATTTGACAGTCATAAACCTATTGTTTTGATTTTGTATTTGTTAGGTATTCTGTGACCTTTAGAAGCGGCTAATGAAAGACAACTAGGTACTGTCTAAATTCAGATGTTTTCTTCTCAGATTAGAGAAGACCACTCCACCCAGTGACCTAATTGGTTAGAGCATCTGCCTTGGATGTGGGAGGTCATGGGTTTGAACTCCAGCTGAGTCATAAAAAAGACTTTAAAAAAATGGTACTATGAGCTGCTTCACTATGCTCTCATCATTAAGAGGTTTAAGTGTTAAGAGCTGATCAACCTGGTGCCTGGGGAAACATGATGCAATATAAAGTTCCACAATGCAGACATCATAGTGATATAAAGAAACATATTTAAAGCTATATTAAAAATCAGAATCACACACACATGCATGCACTGATTTCACAATAGAAGGGAAAACAATTAGAATTATAATGATTAAATTATAAAAGCTTGTTATTATTAAGGTGTAAATTGTACCCATTCTCTCACACAGACTGTAAGTTAACTTTTTGGGTGAAATTCAAACTTTGATATATACTCACTCCCATGACCATTTATTTCTAAAATGAATAAGGTTGTAAGACGTCACAAATTAAAAACCTTGGAAATAATACCTTTTGATAAAGTTTATTCATTATTTTTAGGTCGTTAGTTCACAGATCAGAAGAGCTTATGTGGTGACATTTTGTGACCTCTGTGCATCAGCCAGAACAAGTTTATTATAGTTACTTTGTAGTTTAAATAAATCTTGGTTTGGACAACTTCAGTAATTAGCACAAGACTGAATGATAATAATGCCAATATTTTCTGATTTTTTTCGGTGATAATTTGGATATAGTACATCTGTTGTCTGGGAGATAGTTTACTTTTGGTGTTCTTGCAATACTACATAAGCCTGCTTACTGAAATGGTCAAGTGTTATACATACATACATACATACATACATACATACATACATACATACATACATACATACATACATACATACATACATACATACATACATACATACATACATACATAAACACACATACATACATACATACATACATACATACATACATACATACATACATGCATGCATGCATGCATGCATGCATGCATGCATGCATGCATGCATGCATGCATACATACAGACAGACAGACAGACAGACAGACAGACAGACAGACATACACACACACACACATACATACATACATACATACATACATACATACATACATACATACATACATACATACATACATACATGCATACACGCATACAAACATACATACATACATACATACATACATACATACATACATACATACATACATACATACACACACACACACACACACACACACATACATACATACATACATACATACATACATACATACATACATGCATACATACATACATACATACATACATACATACATACATACATACATAAACACACACACATACATACATACATACATACATACATACATACATACATACATACATACATACATACATACATACATACATACATACATACATACATACATACATACATACATACATACATACATACATACATACATAGACACACACACACATACATACATACATACATACATACATACATACATACATACATACATACATACATACATACATACATACATACATACATACATACATACATACATACATACATACCCAGCTTTAATTCAAGAGAAATAAGCAGAACAACCAACCATAATTCAAAAGCTTCAAGCCATACATCTAGTAATTGTCTAAAAATAGTCATGTTCTGTGTGTTACGGACATGTTTGCATGCAATAATTGTAATATTTTATGAATAGTTGAGACTTCAAATTAGCAACATACACCACTCCCGTGATAACTCATGCCCTGATAACTTGTAAACCCACTTATAATGTGGCGTCAGGCGTGGATCCCATTTTTTAAACCAGAAAATACCAAAAGTTTGATCTTTATTTGCTGAACTTAAAATTCTGATCAAAATTGGTAATGGAAACTTTGATATATTACTCGTTTTATCATTAATAATGGTTCTCAGAAAAAAATCACATTCCTATCGATTTCATGCAGGTATATCTCCATGAAAGGGCATTCAATTTTGCTAGGCTGGCTAGTAAGTGGCTACCCGATGCTGACACCAAATTGTGTCAGTGAATTCCAACTTTTTGATAGGCAATGGACTCTGACACTGCACCCTAACATAAATGTTCAAATATTAAAAATTGGGTAGCAAGAATCAGAGGAAACCCAGACTAGGTGGCAGAGATGTTGTGAGGAAGCACATTGGTAGCAAAAAGTTCATAGAGGTTGGCAAAAATTAAAAACTTAAGCAGCATTTAAGCTCTGAAATAATTTAAGCTATTGATGGAAGACCTGAAAGCAACCAATTCTAAAACATTGTGAGTTTTATTGTTGAACACACTCTACCTTTATCAGTTGGCTCCCATGCTAAACATTTGTTCTGACAAATATTCTCAGACTCTTAAGATCACTTCATGAATTCATGTCAAAATTCACCAATTTGTATCCATATTTTCACTAATTGTGAGCCTGGAGGGTTGGCAGTTATGTCGTTGTGTGCGAGTTATGGAGGGTGCAGTGTACCAGTTCTGGGGCTGATTTATATCAAACCTGATCTATACCAGCCCACATAAACAGCATAGCTCCAAATCAACTGAATTATGAAATAGCAGTAGAAGACCATTTGTTGTTGAACTTGTAGAAAAAATGGTGACAGCATAATCTGGGTCTGTGCCATTTGCAGTTTAACATACATTGCAAAAAAGCAGATATGAAAATAATACCAATATTTTTAATGCAGTCATTGCCAATTGTGAAGTGACATCTTTTTTTTCTCTATAATTGCTAATGTATGTATGACAAAACATGCTTTATCTAGCAGTCTTCTGCATGGAAACAGATATCGTCTGCATGGCCACTTTTGACTTATTATCAGGTTGGTGTCCGTTATTCTTTTTTTTTGTTGTTTTAAATGTTTCTTCGAGAATATTGGGCACTAATAATGACATTAATTTCAGCTGAATTATCAGAAAACATACATACCCCCAAGGGGACTTTATAATTCATTGTTAACGGAATGTTGTGAGTGGTAAATTTATAATGAAGAAAATATTGCAGACATTTTACAATTCTTTTATTATGGGAAAAGATTTGAAACGTGATCCATGAAATTCGCATTAGTGTAGCTGAAAAGCTATAAATGACATGATATTGCCGAGGAGGAAATTGAAAAATGTAAAGTTGCCAAGTCTGTTAGTGTTGAGTAGAGGTTATTGATCAGAACCCATGTTAAGGAAGAAAACTCTTATGAGACCTCTGTGACAATCAATATGATCTGAGTAAGAGTACGGGAAATTGTTGCAGCAATTGCAGCCATACACGTTATCATGACCTTGCATTTTTTCATCTTCATGCAGTTCTATCCACAAAAATGTGCAAGGGACAGATAGGGCAGCAAGTATGTGCACAGCAGTATGTATTGATTTGGAAAACTCATCAATCCTATATCAATTGATCAATCATGCAACCAACCAACCAACAAACCGATCAATCAAATCAAATATGTTTATTTATTTATTCCTTATGATGATGTGTGACAGGATAAGGATGTTCGAGTTTTAAAAGCAATGCTTTCTGTACATCTGAAGATGGTGTGGTCAGTATGAAGCTATCAATATGTTTTATAGTGATATTAACTTGGGAGAGACAATGTAAAATGACGTTACACATGTCTCTTCATAAATAAATCAAATTGAATTTCACAGTGAAGTTAGACCATGGAAAAGTATTAACAATTTTTAACCTGCTGCAAATCGGCAAGTAAGGCAAGGCACTTCGTCCATAATTTTTTTAATGCCATAGCAAGCTGTTAGACAAATTAAGACAAGGTACTTCATCCATGAATTTCTAATGCTTGTTACAAGCTGTTAGACAAAAGGAGACAATTCTTGAATTTTTCAATGTCCATTACAAGCTGTTAGACATAGGGAGACAAGGTATATTTGTCCCTGAATTTTAAAATACCCATTACAAGAGGTTAAACAAAATTAGAAGGGGCACTTCATCATTTCTTTTCTGTGTAATGACCCTTACTTCCCAACATATTCTCCTATGATGACCCCAATAAAATGCTACTTGTTTGTAATTGATTGTGGAATACTTTGAGCCTTAGCTGGTGACAAAGATAAGCTGTAGCATATTTGGCTGTGTGTCATACATGTGTCTATCAACAAATAATGTTACCAATCTGGAGTCCATATTTATAATCCAGTATCAATTAAAGTTAGTATATGGGATAATATGTGAGATTGACAAATATTTATAAGGTGGCCTTCAAGACATTTTGGAGTCCATATTCTTTTTTTATCTGATTTTGATTGCAGTTGGATTAAGTACTTACCAGTATACTATTAATACCTTGAGCATTTCTGTTCAGTATCATTCGAGATTTACATATGCTAACGATGTCATGATACATCTAATTGGTTGTGCTTTTTACCACTCTGTTCGTTGCATTTCTGATTTGATAAAACTTGTATACTTATAGTATTAAGATGACCAATGATTTTGATAATGGGCATGATACACAAATTTTAATTAGATGATCATTCATTTGATTAAATTACCCTTACAGAAGCCATATTTATGATCAGACTTTTAAACATGCTTTCATCCTTAAGATCTCAGATCAATTTGATAATGAACAAGGTCCATGCCTTTTAACAATGTAATCATGTGTTTAATTGTCCCTCTGGTGGCAGCAAATTGGCAGCTAGTGTGTTATAGCAGGGAAAAGACTCATGATCAGACCATTTCAAAACATTCATTTTTATATATTGAAGAGACAAACAGTTAAAGCTAATAAGAAAAAATGTTAGAATAATGGATACAAGAACTTCAGTACAATGTCATAGGGAAATTACATTAAATAATATGCAACTTAAAGCTAAAGACATAAAATTAGAAACAATGTTCAGTAAAACGTGTATATAAGTAAACTTATATTTTATATATAATGTTGGGAATGATTATGCTCTACAGAAATTATTTGTGTATTTTTTTTCTGATGCACACCAGTAAGGTAACCTCAACACAACTTAAAAGTCTCTAATTCCTAAAAATAGTATTGGTGTATTAAAATGCATAAAT